GGAATGTCAATAACTCCATTAGGTCCTTCTTGTTAGTATGAAATAGAGCAGATCACTATTTTGGAATGAGACATGACTTTAACAATAGCACAGGTGTCCCCCCTCCATGTGCCACAAAGAAACTTTTCTGTTTGCCATAATTATAGCTGTTGCAATTCTCTAATAATATGTGTGGTGGGTGGGGGTGGTGACAGGAAAGCAGGATGAAGAGGTAATTTTGGAGAATGAATAAACAAAGAGGACCAAGTAGGATTTGGTGAGTTGTAAGGGATTACTGATGGGAATTCAGGCCATGTGGCAGGGAAGAATTCACCTATTTAGGTGTACAGTAGATAGATTTTATGACTGTCCCCTGTCATGAACTATTAAAAGTATGGAGAAAAGCCAGAGATATATTGACAAAATCAAATATAATTAAAGTATAGAGAGTCTATTGGCAAAAAAATCCAATGACTTCAAAGTCCTAGATAATTAACATTTTCTGCCCTGGAACCAATATTAGGAAATTCAATGAGACTATCTGAGGCTGAAACAACTTAAACAATGGCTATTTGTTGCCTACTTGTGAGAATATAATTTTCATAAAAAGGAAATAATTTTTATTCTTATTCTGCTTTTTCCTGTAAGTCTCAGTTGAAAAATTTCCAGAGATCTGTATAACACGAAGACTGTAGTTTATATATTGTATATATTATTTTAAAGATCTTTTTTTTTTGGTCTTTTTGAGACAGGGTCTCCCTGTAGCCCCAGCTGTCCTGGAACTCACTATGTAGACCAGGCTGGTCTTGAACTCACAGAGATCCACCTGCCTCTGCCTCCCAAGTGCTGGGATTTAAGGTGTGTGCCACCACGCCCCACTAAAGATCTTTTATAAGTAAATATATTTTGGTTGTTCTTGTCACAGATAAAACCACATGACATAATATATATTAGTTTGCTTCTCTATAATAACTACTTTACCACCCACAAATATAGTTTTGCAAGCCTCAAATATATAGAATGACATTTAGTTGAAAAAATGTTTATTGTATTTAACAAATGAGCATATAAAGTATATATATTCATTCACTCTTTTTTTAAAAAAAAAACATGTGTGTGTGTGTGTGTGTGTGTGTGTGTGTGTGTGTCTTTGTACATGTGCCCACACATGAGTTCCTGTGTGAGAATCTGAGTGCAAGCTGCCATGGAGTGTGTTTGGAGGTCAGTGGTCAGTCTTACCTGTTGATCTTCTCCTTCCGTCTTGCTGGACCTGGGGTGTGTTGCTGTTCACCACTGCATATGCCAGGCCAGCTCCCAGGAGCTTCCAGAGGTATCCTGTCTCCATTCCTCATCTCTCCATAGGAGTACTGTGAGGACAGATGCATGGTCCCAAGTCTGGCTTTATGTGGGTTCTGGCGATCTAAACTCAGGCCCTCACACTTGTAGGCTCCACTGAGCCATTTCCTGCCCTAGCTCTCAATCATTCTTCTTATGATATATTGATATTTCATTTGGTCATTGCCAGCCTCATAGTACAGTGTAAGCTATAGGATGAAGTTGGTTAACATATATCTGCTCTCTACCATTTTAAAGGCAAGTTAGAATTAATAAAGAGGAAGTGATTGGAGGGAAATGAAATTCTAATCTAACCTTGAAGATTATATTTCAAATATGTATATGCAGCAAATTTTCTTCTTTCACAAGTTTTGTGTAATCACTTGGCTTCTGGGGAGATAGTACTGATAACATGTCATGCTCATTTGCCACAGTGAAAATGGAACATACTGCATCTAGCAGTTGACTTATTGGAAAAACTATTCTGGTGCAATGGTCTAAGGAGGAAATTTAGGTTAGGGAACAATAGGAAGTGCTAGAGCTCTTTGTTCAAGTGGAGCATGTACTAAAAGAGAGCTCTACTTTATTCATGAAAGCTATGTTCATCAGAAAAGATAAAGTGGATGCCTTGGTCTTTAACTCTTACAGCCAAGTAGAATTAATGTTAGTTGATAGTTAATTAATTTTTAGTTGATTTTTAATTAGAATTCGCTTCACTTTGTTTACCAGAAAAAAAATTATTTAGGTGAGTGTCCTGACAACCAGTCAGTTCATTCCCTGTTGTGGACATGTGACACACGGGCAAACCTAGCTTCTCTCCACCCCACCTTTTCAGAGCCACCAACAGCATACTTGGCTGACCCTCTATGTGTGATTATTCACTAGAAGAAGATGAGATATGTTTACATCTGTTTTTCTTTTTAAAAGGAATGAAATTATTTAGGGATCCACAAAAATAAACTGAGTATTTTTAGCACACACATGGTCTAGGTTTGTCAACAGGCAATATTGAGCAGTGGTTTCCTTATTTATCTTTGTATTTGGACAAAGAAGCCTAGCTGAATAGATAGTTTTAACTCCACTGTTTATTTTTTTTTAAAAAGGTGCAGAAATGGCAGGGCACATGTTAGCCAATGACACATGTTTTTCAATTTAAAGTTATTTCTGGAAATAAGTGAAAGAGTTCGTGCATCAAGCAGACCTAGATGCGAATTAGTATACTTGCATGCAGTATTTAATACTTAGTTCTAGTTTTATTCATACTTAATGCAACAACACAAAATAAAACTCATAAAATGGGAGTGCAAACAGTTTAATGCACACACAGTCTTGAACCTCTATTTAAAGTTAATGATTTTACAGGAGTTATAACTGACTATGGCTTTATTTAACTATATTTAAATAGTATTAACAATGGGAAACGACTTGATTTAGGAATAAAGGTGACTGAGATGGCATTTCAGGAGATTCATTTGTGCAAAGGTCCTTAAAGTATATTCCCTCACGTGCTTGAGCATTGTCCGTGCCTTCTCTTCTCTTGCAGGAGTCTATCTTCAGCTCAAGCTGTCTTAGGCCATTAGTATCTGAAGTTTTATTGTCTCCTCATTTAAAACTTACACATTTTGGTCACTATAATATCAGTGTAACAACTATTATTGTAAAGATTTATTCTTTTCAGTTACATTTTTTAAAGGTAGGCATTTAATCATTTTCTTGAGCGTGCATTTACATCTGTTCCAGAAATAACCTGAATTTGTTGAGTCTTTATACACCCGAGTTAGGCTTGGATCTCGCCTCTTTATAACACAAACATTTTCCATTCATTTGAATACCCATATGCCTTAGCTTACATAAATAAAATCTGAGGGTATGGGTTAGAATGGATGGACATGTAAGAAAAGTATTTTAAAGCGTGAAAGATAAGTAAGAAGAACTTAGGGTAAGAAAAACAGACCTACACAACTAGTATTTTAATGAAATAATTTAATGAAGATGTGGTGGCATGTAGAAAAGATACTTTAATTATTTGAATGAAAGAGAAAAATGGAATTAGCGTATGTCTTCTTATCACTCAAAGTCATATTTGTTGGCTTCTTCAGTTTAAAGCCATTATGATTTCATAGTGTTTGCACTAATAGTTAATTCAGCACTTGGGTTGATGCACAGCGGATTGTGATACAGCAACGTGTGACTGATTCCTCCTCAGCTGGCTTTTTCTCTTTCCTCATTGAATGATAGTTACTGATCTTTCCTAACACAAAAGGGAGCAACTTCTTACATGGAAACAGTTCAGCAGAAACAGCATTTTCTCATTTCTCTTCTTATTGCTTTGTGAATGGGATATAAGTGCTGGGAATATGGATGAGAGTTGGATCAGCCATAATTGTTCCTTTCATATGCTAAGCATGTCTGGCCAGGATTGGGGCTAAATTGAAAGGCAGTTCTACAATAGCATTCCTTTGGCCAGGGTGGTAAGGCCCTGTGAAGTCCATGTCTCTTTCATGGTTCAGTGCCTCACAGGCACCGTTTTCACTGCCTTGATATGGAAGCCCGGATGCTGGAGCAGCAGGAATCCATCCTGGAACAGCCTAATGTCATTCTGGTGAAGGTGCAACCTCAATATTTCTTGCTTGCTAGAGCCCAAGGCAGAAAGCTTTGTTGGTGTACTTATGGCAATGGAAAAATCAACTGGGCTTAGTGTTTGGCCCCATGTGGCAATTATAATACAAAGAATGTTTTGATATGTATTAATTGAATTATGTATTTAGAATATGTGCATGCAAATTCTAGAGAAAATGTTAGTAGCAAGGACGAAAATTAGCTTGGTCCTGGTCACATCCCATAAGCCTCCTCCTGGTCCATTTAGAGAACAGCCTATGCCAGTCTCTCCCATCCAGAGTCCTGGATTTTTGTGTGGGATGTGCCCATTCTTGCTTCAGCGAGTATATGTGCTTGTTGCTTTGTGATTAGGATATAAATAAACCTTTTACTTTTCTAATAGACATTTGGAACAGGGTATGAAGAAGCCAGAAGGAATCTTTTCTCTTTTCCTCATTAAATAGACTAAACATCATATATATATATATATATATATATATATATATATATATATATAATCACCTATTACTTTTTATATATACTTTAGTGAAATGGTCTTTGTTTGTTTGTTTATTGAGACAGGGTCTCCCTTTAGCCCCAGCTGGTTTGGAGCTTGCTATGTAGACCACACTGGTCTTGATCTCACAGAGACCTGTCAGCCTCTGCCTCCCTAGTGCTGACATTAAAGGCATGTGCCACCACACCTGGTCTGGTGAAATGGTCTTAATTTCAACTTTTTTTGCAGTTGTCAAAAATATTAGTTGCTGCACTTTAGAACTAAAATGTTTGTGTGATTTCTTGCTTCATTTTAAAGAACTCTGTTGTCCGATTGTTGTTATGCATATTGAAATGTTTTGATAATCTGTTCCTACATTCAAAATGGAATTTGTTCTTATTGTAATTATAAAACAACAAAACTGAAGACCAAGAAGCGTGATTTCACTTAATTTGAAAGAGTCCAATCTTGTGTGTGTGTGCGTGTGTGTGTGTGTGTGTGTGTGTGTGTGTGAATATGATCAGCCTTGTCTTCTGTCATACCCTGCCAAATCTTCTATTTAAGTATTGTGAAAACTCTTTGTTTTTTTCAGGTCGAATGAGTGATTTGGTTGTAAGTGGTCATCCAATAAATTCAGAATCTAAAGAAGATGAACCTTGTAGTGAAGAAACAGATCCACTGCATGATCTATTTGCTGAAATTTTACCTGAATTACCAGATTCTTTTGAAATAGACATATACCATGGTGAGGAAGAAGAAGAGGGAGATGAAAACTGTGCAAATGCAACCGATGTGACAACTACTCCATCAGTTCAGTACATCAATGGGAAGCAGCTAGTCACCACAGTGCCCGAAGACCAAGGAGCTGCAGAAGCTAGGAGTGGCCAGTTTGAAAGTGTTGCACCTTCTCATAATTTCTCAGACAGCTCTGCAAGTGATACCCATCAGTTTGTAATCACAGAAGCAGAAATGTCAACTGTAATGCAATATAATGAATCTAAAGAAACCACTGAATTGCTAGAAATCACGTGGAAGCCTGATACATATCATGAGATACCAGAACACTTCTCAAGTGGTGAGTCTGATATTTTCACCACAGTCCCATCCCATGATGGAAAAGCCACAGAAGGGGCAGAATCCATCACACAGAGCAATCCCAAACTTGAAAGTCTGGTACATAAACTTCTTGAGCCTGTACCTCTGTTTCCTGAAGAGTCTTCAGGAGAAGGTGCCATTGACCAAGTATCTCAGAAAATGTTTTTTTCCAGGGCTACAGAAGTAACATTTGGTGAAGAGGCAGACAAAAGTGCTTCCACATCTACTCCTAGTACACTCCCAAGTTCTGTGTCAGCAGATGTCTCAGAGGAAAAACCAGTTACCCTAACAGGAACCCCACAAACTGGTGATTCGTCTACTATAGAAAGTTGGGTAGAGGTAACACCTGGACAAACTATAGCATTCTCAGGGAGTTCTTCAGGCCCAAGTATAGAAGGCTCTGCAGAATTGGATGAGTATAAAGAAAAGACGTTCACCCTGGTAACTGATTTATCACAGAGAAATCCTACAGATACACTGTCGCCTTTGGATATGAGAAAGATAATGATCACAGAGAGCCTTTTTGATGTTCCTGCAACCACTCCTTCATTGGATTCAGAACAAGCTTCTGCAGATGCAGCACCTACACGATTGGTAATTCAAGCAGATACTTCTGAGTGGGTTTCTGGTACATTTCTTGAGGGAAGGAAAAGGGAAGAGGAGGAAGAAGGAACTACAGATGCAGCCTCTGTAGTTGAGATCCACTCACCAACACAAAGGTCAGATCACATAATTTTATCCACGGAATTAGAAAGTTCAAACCTAGCTACATCTAGTGATTCAGCTACTAGGAAAAATTTTATGCTTTTGACAACACCCACACATTCTGAAGAGGAAACACCAAGTTCTACTCTTGTTTTCACAGAAGCAGATGTTTTAGTCAATTTGCAAGCACAGCCCTTGGAGCACAGTAGTAGCAGTCAACCCAGGGTTGAAGAAGGGCTGACCACTCTCTCAGGTAGCCCTGCCTCTCTCTTTATGGATCATGGCTCAGGAAAAGAAGATGCTGGCCCAGAATACACTACTATCTCTTCAGTTTCATTAAATTTAGAGTCTGAACTCCAAGCTAAAAAAAAAGTACCTGGTACTTTGGTTCCTCTTGTGGAAACTACATTCTCCTCTGAGATAACAGGATTAACTCTGAGTACTGAAACAGACAGAGAAGTTGCTGAAGATATAAGCCAGCCATCCAAGGAAGCATTGATTTCAGAAGTATCAGATCCAACTCGTGGGGCAGAAGTAGGGGGCTTTTCCACAGGCTTTTCTTTGGGAGAGGATTTCAGTGGTGACTTTAGTGAATACTCAACAGTGTCTTATCCCACAGCAAAAGAAGAAAGAGAAGGGAGGGGAAGCTCTGAGGACACAACAGATAGGGACATAGAGATTTCACCATCTACAACACCTACCTCAGATGATAGCAAACAAATGCCTGAATTAACAGACCTCAGCAGCACCATGGCCAGCACCTCAGCCTTCCCCTGGGAAGAGTTCATGGCCTCAGCTGAGGGCTCAGGTGAGCAGCCGACTTCAGTCAGCAGCTCTTTTGGCCCAGTACTTCCCCCTGCTGTGGACAATTTTTCTGGTACTGATTCCTCACTTATTGACCAGGGATTGGTAGAAGTGGGTGCTACAGGTAAAGCAGATAAACAATTTACTGTTTTGCCAACAGCAGAAACAGGAAATATAGTAGAGATAACAGAAAACGGGGAAGTAAAAGTTGATAGCACCATTTCAGTGGACTTTCCACAAACAATGGAGCCATCCAAATTGTGGTCTAGACAGGAAGATAATCCTGTAAGACAAAGGATTGAAAATGAAACGGCAACTGAGGAAAAGGCTCAAGAACAAAAGACTTTTGAGTCTTCTCAAAGTTCTCTTGCCCCAGAACAAAGAATTTTTGATTCCCAAATGCTTATTGACACTCAGCTCCTAACTACAGCTTATTCTATGCTAACACCACACAAAACTTATGACACTAAGGAAATGGAAGAGGAAAACAAGTCCTTAGCTCATATGTCGACCTCAGATCCAGATGCAAAAGGCTTGGAATCATATACTAGTCTCCCTGAAGCTATTGGCAATTCAAACTCTTTCTTAGCCACTGCCTTAGTGACTGAATCTATACCAGCTGGAAGTGTAGTCACAGGCTCTCAATCTAAAGAAGAAGAAAGTATAAAACTCCTTCCAAAAGGCATGAGACCAACAATTAAAGGGTCAGATACTGATCTCTTATTCTCTGGTTTGGGATCAGGGGAAGTTTCACCTCCTCTGCCTACAAGACCAGTGGATTTTACTGAAATGGAACAGATCGTTAGCACTTTGGATCCTGAGACTTCTCCCATGGGAAGTTTAGGAACACGCATTGTAAGTGATAAAATGGAAGACTATGAAAGAGTGGAAACTGTGGCGAATGAAATTAGACCACTCATTTCTGAAACAGGCACCATTTCTGAGGGTAGTAAAGCAGCATTCAGTACAACATTACATGATACCAGAGCAGAAGGCCCCACTGCTTCATCTCTTCCTTTTTCCACAGATGTGGAGCATCTTACAAATCAGACTCTCAGGTGGGAAGAAGAAACCCAGACACATAGACCACAAACCATTATTGAAAAGACCTCTAATGAGAACTCTTCAGTAGCAGAAACTGAAGCAGCAGCAACCTCTTCTCTTTTTCTGGTTCAAACTTACAGTACTGAAGTAGAGAAAGAATTAGTTACATTAGCATCAAAACCATCTGACTTATTTTATGAAAATTCAGGAGAAGGATCTGGAGAAGTAGATGTTTTTGATTTAGTCCACATTTCTGGAACTACTCAGGCAACCAAGCAAGGAGACAGCACACTTGCTTCTGATGGATTTTTGGAACAGCACCCAGAGGCTCCCAGGGCTGAGGCTAGGGCTACTGATGGATTTTCAACAGCTCCACCAATTCTACTGTTTCATTCAGCATACAATGAAAGTTCCCCAGACCCAACTACTGCACTGTCAAATACGGTGCCCTATGCGAGTCCCACAAATGATGTTGCAGGTGGTTTCCAAGATCATATCAGGAGATTTGAGGATTCAACCTTAAAACCTAACAGAAGAAAAGCCACTGAAAATATTATTATAGATCTAGACAAAGAGGATAAGGATTTAGTATTGACAATTACTGAGAGTACCATCATAGAAATTCTACCTGAGCTGACATCAGATAAAAATATTATCATTGATATTGATCACACCAAACCTGTATATGAATACATCCCTGGGATGCCAACAGACTTAGATTCAGAGATACCATTGGGACCACATGGTAGTAATGAAGAAAGCCTTCAGGTTCAAGAGAAATATGAGGCAGCTGTTAATTTTTCTTTAGCTGAGGAGGTGATTGAGGGCTCTGGCGATGCTTTTGCTAGTTACACTCAAGCAACATACAATGAATCAACTACTTCTGAAGATGGAAACCAAGCAGAGCACATGTACATTCACTTTGCAACTGGAGTGCCTGTTCCTAGCACAAAAATTGAGTTAGACACTCTACTTCCTACATTGCCAACTCTACCCATTCCTAGTAAGTTGACTACAGTTAGTCCAGATGTTGGAAACCCCAAAATTGAAGCAATATCTCTGGATGACATATTTGAATCGAGTACCTTGTCTGATGGCCAAGCTATTGCAGACCAAAGTGAAGTAATATCAACATTGGGACATTTGGAAAGGACACAGGAAGTATATGAAGAAAAAAAATATGTAGGTCCTTCTTTTCAGCCAGAATTCTCTTCAGGAGCAGGGGAGGCATTGACAGATCCTGCTGTCTACGTAAGTATTGGCAACACGCACCTTGTGGCTCAGCATTTAACAGAAGCCCCTAATGTGACAGAAGGGTCCAGTCCTACACATTACACTGATATGACACCTGCAGTTCCTGCCCTGGCACGGTTGTCCTCTCAAACACCATCTTCTCCCTTCCCTGTCTACATAGGCAGTGGAACCTCTGAATTCCCAGAGGTGCCCCAGACAAGTCCTCCACCAGGTACAGGTGCCAGCTCATCACAAAGGTCTCCAGAAGATTCATTTAAGGAAGTTCAGGCAACTGTCGAAGCAACTGTCAAGCCACTGAGTGAAAAATATTTTCATATCACTGAACCTCCATCCTTATCTACTGATCTAGAGCTAGAACTTTCAGAAGATGAAAGGAAACCTAAGTTACTAGAAGAATTGGAAGCTTCTCCTACAGAACTAGTTGCTGAGGAAGGAGTTAAGGCTTCTCAAGATTCCTCAAACAAAGCCAATGGTCAACTTCCTGGAGAAACAATTGGGATGTTTCCCAGTGTCAGAACACCTGAGACCGGAACTGTCACCACAGCTGCCAGTGGGATTAAGTTAGAAGGTTCTACACAGTGGCCACATTCTACTTCTGCTCCTGCAGCTTTCAGGGTTGAGACAGGTGTGCTACCTCAGCCCAGCCCACCGAAGCCTGAGAGGCCCACACTCTCTTCCTTGGACATTAACCCCGAAACATACAAACCTGTAATCAGAGGGGAGGATTCCACAGTAGTAGCATCAGAAAAAGAAATGTCAGCAAGAGTTCTCGATTCCAATAATCAGGCAACAGCCAGACCTGTGGAACTAAATACTGAGCTTGCATTACCACCATTTTCTCTTCTGGAAAATTCTAATGAAACTGGTTTCCTGATTGGTATTAATGAAGAGTCCATGGAAGGCACAGCAGTCTATCTACCAGGTAAGAACACAACATTGATACATCTGTTTCCAAGGCTGGGATCAGTCCCTTGATTCTAACATATACATGTATGTAGCTTTTATTATACTGTGAAATCCATGGAGACTATTATATTGTTCATATAACTGTAGGCCAAGCCAGCAATGAATCCTAACTAGATACGCTGAATGTAGGTATAGATATTTCTGCGTTTCACAGATGTACTTTGCACTTTTTCTGCGTCTTACAAACACCATATAATTGCAGCATGGGTGAAGTGGAATAATGGTGTAAAAATCAATGTACTTCCACCTGAAGTTCAAGTATTGCTTTGTCAAATGTCCTGCAGTTGTACAATACAGCTTTTTTAACTTTAAAAAAAAATTTATGTGTTTTTGAGTGTATTACCTGCATGTATGTAAATGCACCCATGTTGTGCAGTGCCTGTGGAGGTCAGAAGAGGGCATCAGATCCCCTGGAACTGAAGATATGGATGGTTGCTAGCCACCCTGTAGGTGCTGGGAATCAAACCCAGGTCCTCTGCAAGAGTAGGCAGTGTTCTTAACTGCTGATCCGACTCTCCAGCTCCAAGTACATTATAGTTTTACAAGCACACAAAAAATGCCTACTTTTCCTTAAAAAACATTAATAGATGCTATTATGACATTAAAATCTGTTAGACTTTTACCATTTGAGACTTGTAGCTGGCTCTTGCAAATCCTTCATGTTTGATGCAGTACCAATGCCAGTTTTTACATTAATGTGATTTCCTTTCTTGAGACAGTTCACACAATTCTTCTAACATAGTACTTAGCTATAGTATATCTAGTATATGTTTGTGTTCTGCCCCTTGAGAACTTAATTTCTGTTTATTTCTGACAATACAAAAATGTGGATTTAATACTGTTTCATACAGAATGTTTCATTTAATCTTCACAAAAAAGACTAAAGCTCATCCTTTACATTAGCTCAGTGTAAAAGGACATGACATGAATATTCAAGAAGGATCAGTAACTTGCCCAAGGATGCATAGCCACACCATGGCAAAAGTGGGATTTGAACCTAGAACAATGCTACTCTGAGGTCCATGATCTTTTTACTGTCCTTTGCTCCTTTTCAATATGGCATAAAATTAACAATTGATATTTAATGAGATGCATAAATATTGGAATACTTACTTAGTAGGAACTATCGTCTTCTTATGTAGCCTGAAAATGTTAAGGTCAGCTTTTATAGACTTACTGGAATGTTATTTAAATGGAATGTAAATG